GGATTAAACGTGACTTAAAAACTATAGCAACCGCATAGAAACGCCTTGGCAACCACCCTAGCATTACAGTGTTATTTACATATCAGAGTATAGTAGTAGCCTATTTATTAATTTTATAATATTTAATGATATTTCGAATTCACTTTTTATTTTCAGTTTTCTTTTTAATTTTAGTTTAAGATTTAGTCATTTAATTTTGTTAAATGATTGACATTTTTATTTATTTTTGATTATATATATATATTTTTTTTTTACAGTATTTACTTATATTTTACTTATTTTTTTTTATTCAGCTTTTATTTTAATTTCAGTTTCATTTAATACTTTAACTTTCAAATTTCAAATAGTTGCCAATGCATTTTTTTTTTCATTTTTGTGTAAATTTCTTAAATTTAAGTTTTTCATCTAATGTTTATATTTTACTTTATCCCAGCTTAATATCAGTCAGGGTTATTATAGTTAATTAAAACTAAAACAATAATTTAAAAAAATAATAATTTCTATTACTTGAAATAAAGTAGGTCTAAATGATACTGAAATATTAATTTTTTTAATATATTTCTCATTTTCTTTTAGTTTCACTAAAGTAACCAGGGGGAAAAAACTATATATATATATATATATATATATATAAACTAATACAAATAAAAAAAAAACACAAAAATTGCTAAAAGTTTAAGTTAAATTAAAATATAAAGATAAAAGCATTCAAAATATTAATACAAATTACAATAGTATCTCAATAATACTAAAATAACACTGACTTCAATTAGCAAAAGTGATTTGAATCATTTTAGTTGTAATTGTGACATCTTAGTTTTGTGGTGGGCAAACAATATTCAAATAGTCTGAATGAATAAATCTAGTTCCTCTGTGTTTTCTGTCAGATCGACTCGTTTGAGTTGCTGCAGTATTATGATGAAACTCTGGCTCGTTGTCTGTGGTAAGCTGTGAAATATTCTGCACACATTCAGTTCTTTTATTTCACTCCCTTCACACGAATTAACCCAATTAATGTGAAACTCATGCTTGTCACAAGAGAAGTGTGCAGTTTTTGAATTAATACTCATGTACAACATATTTTATTTGCTCCAGGGTCACAAATGTTTCGAAGAATGTATTGTGACGATTGAGGTAGTGTGTTAGTATTTTTACCATGGACAAACTCTCATGGCTTGTTGCTTTTAAATATGATTTAAAAACACACACAAGTGTTTAATAACAGGAATAAACACTACTTCCTCCAAATAAGAGGTTTTTTTAAAAGTAAAATAATGCTTATGCAATCAGAATATAGTTGAGCTGGAACTAAAATATAAGACTTGCTCTCTACTCCACAGGTATCTTGTGACAGAAGGACAAATTTTCATCCCGTTCATTTTCACTTTTTTTGCCATGACGGCTACGGTCGTGCACCAGAAGCGCAAAGGTTTTCTGCCTGATGCTAACGGACTCTTCCTGCTCTACAGTTTTTCACTGTCGCTCGTGTTAGTGACCATCTGGGTCACCTGTCTGTGGAACGACAAGGTGTTACGGAGGAAATATCCAGGAGTGATGTATATACCAGAGCCGTGGGCCGTTTACACACTGCATCTCAGAGACAAACACACGACGCTCACAGACTGAACCTGCACTCCAAACCACTCAGATCATTTAATATGACTTGACTTGCAACCGTAAACTCTTTATTTTTAAGTAACCATCACGTTGCACCTTCAGAAATTGACTTTTTTGCATAACATGCATCCTATGAATTTCTGCAAAAAAATGTGTGCACAGAGAATGTTTTAACCGTGCAAAGATTTCCAGCGGCCCAAGAAATGCACTCTACTCTATTCCAGCCACTCCACTCCACTCACTCTACTCTACTCTACTCTACTCTACTCTACTCTACTCTACTCTACTCTACTCCATTCCAGCCACTCCTCTCCACCCCACTCACTCTACTCTACTCTACTCTACTCTACTCTACTCTACTCTACTCTACTCTACTCTACTCTACTC